TCTTCAAAATTCAATATTAATTTATTAGTGACGATGAACAATTTGACTTTGTTATTAATATTATATCATATTAGTAATATTAGTAATGATTATAAAAATTGTGAATTATATTTTATTGTTGGTGACAAATTGTTCTTCATTAATTAATGCTTGAATCATTTCTGTCTATAATAATTTGTCACAAATATTTAACATCAAAATATTATTGATGATAAAGAATATGTCACTAATATTAAAAAAGTATTAGTAACAAAAAATTAATTTTGTTTTTTACATCTATGATATTATCGATAATCAAATTCTATTACTAGTGACCATTGTCCAAGTTTCATCATTAAAGATAAAAAGTTTGAGTCTATCATAATTAGTCTCAAATAATTAATATTAATATGTTATTGATAATTAAGTTTCCCAGTAAAATAATTTGTATACATAAAATTATTAATACCTAAAACATAAATATATATTGTTTATTTTGTATTACTAAAAAAAATATAATTTCTATTATTAATGACAAATTTCTCGTCATTAATGTTTTAAATTTATTATCTATAGTGATTTATCATAAATTTTAAATATTATCATATTCAGGATAAAAACAAAATTGTATTTAAGAAACATGTTCAAATTTGAAATTTTGTTTATCAAATTATTATAATATTTAATTGGAAAATTATGGGATAATATTACAATATCATAATTTTTTTTTAAATTAAAATTTTGTTTATGATAACAAATTATCTTTTATCCATGTACAATCTTATCTATTCCTTTTTTACAAGTCTTATCTATTTCTTATTGAGAAAAAAACGTGTTAAGAAGGATTATTCATTTGTTTATACGATGTAGATAAAATTCAATAGACACTATATACAAGATAAACTTTATTATAATAAAAAAAATTCAAATCAATGTGGGCCACATACCTCTGCATTTCTAAATATTTATGTTTATATTTATATATAAAATAAGGTATCTTAGATTATTAAAATAATAATTAAGTTGCAAATCCTTTATCTATTTTATCTTTTAATTATTTCTTTTATATATTTATATATATATATATATATATTTTTATATAATTGCATTTTATATGTCAAAATGCTTACCCAAATAAAATAAGGGAAAAATATTTCTGCAGTTAATGCAGATAAATTATCAGCATTTATTCCCAAAACGACGTCGTTTTGGTATTGAAATCTTAAAAAACTATAAATATAAAGACTATTATAACCCTGAAATAAATTAAAATTACAAAAATACCATGATTTTTGCCCAAAACAACGTCGTATTGGCTTACACTTATCTGCAGTAACGGCAGAAAAAATGAACCCATAAAATAAATATCAATAATGTTACAAAAAATCAAAGAAAGACTTTATTAATCTATAATAGATTTTTTATTTTTAATATGCTCAGAGATCTGATCAAGTGTTAAAGTGATCCATTGTATTATTGAAGATTAAAAATAAATAAATAAAATGACTTGTGGCGCACTACAACAAATCACAAACTTAAAGTCGGTTGATTGACGTCGGTTTTTGAAAGGGCCAGCCCAACATATAATTAGCTTGGATCCACTACAGCCAATCACAAATTCTCACCGTCAAAATATATAAAACTTGAATTAAATAATTAATATAATAAAAAATATTCAAAATTAATTTAACTTAAAAAATTTCATCTATATAACCTAACACTCTTCTATTTTCGTAGCCCCAGCACTTTCTCAGTTCAGAGAAAATGTAAGTTTCTTTTCTTTCTTTTTTTAAATCTTCTTCCTCGTGAATCTAACTTTTTTTTGTTGAATAAGGTGGAACTTCTTCTTTTGATAGATTTGCATTCGAGTTTTGATCTGCTTTCCAAGTGTTGCGTTCATGGTTAGTGAAAACATTAAAAAGGTAAAATGATGAATAAATTTTTCTCAAATAAGTTCAGATCTCTACTCGTCATTCATTGAGTTTGAGATGAGGAGATTGCACTCATTTTTTTTAGAGTAAAATTTCTGTAGATAGCTTCTGCGTGAAGAGAATAAGATTTGGAGCAGCATCAGCGAAAGACAAATCGTCTGGTTACTAGTAGTAGGCAAGCTTACGTCACCCTTTGCTTGAACTCGAATCTATTATTATTATTATTATTTCGCTTCTCAGTAATTTGCCTGTGTGTTTAGTGTTCTTCTACCAATGGGCCAATTTTGATGATTCTCTGCATATCTTGTTGATTTGGTTGTGTGTTTAGTTGTAATTGCCCACAACATATTTGATCTAAGGTCTGAACTGTGTAAAACGTGTGTTTTGTGTTGAGAACGTTCCATTGGAAGCCACTTCTCTATAGCCAATTTCGTGAGTAATTATAGAAAATAAGGCATTTGTGCAGCTATCTTGGAGTATCCATGTACTGTTTTCTTTTGATTCTATTTTCTGCAAAATGAGAAGAGTCTATATGAGAACCATGTTTGCAATGCATTTTGCTTTTAATTCATTGTTTATTGACTATTGAACCATCCACAAAAGGAGAAATATAGATATTATAAATATTAAACGAGATAAACCTTCGTCACCTAATAATTTTATGACAAAAAGGTAATAAATTCTAAAATACATTTTACAGAAAGTTAGAGCTTATCTATACTTATCTACATTGCGAGCCCTAGATTTCATGAAAAAATAAAGCATATTGAAATAGACTGTCAATTTATTCATGAACAATTAGATATAGAGGAAAGTTATACTTATAACTTATTTTCGTTTAAAACCTCTCCCAATTATATCTTAAACGTTAATTTTCGTCAATTAACATTATCATTTATTGTAAATTAATAATTAATTAATGAGTTTAATTTGCGAAAATAATAACCATTGATTGACGTAAATCAACGATTAGGATATGATTATAAATGAAAATAAATTATAAGTATAACCTTCCTCTTAAATATATATATATTATCTATATATATATATTTATATATATATATATATATATATATATATATATATATATATATATATATATATATATTATCTGCATGACTGGTGTCCCGCTGAACCAACCAGCACATATCATGATTTAGGCATTGGACTAAAAACAATTCTAGTTTTCATTGTCCAAATTGGGTCTTTGTTTCCTCCATACTCAAACCTAAGGGTAGAGATGATTTTCAATAAATGTCAACTTCTTCTGATGTGTCTCTGACCTGTCAAAAATGAGACAGGTCAGATTGACCCACCTTTTATAATTGTGTTAAAAATATCAACACATCGTGTTTTGTGACAGTTCAACGTCTTTATATAAAAATAAAATAAAAAATTGTACTATATATGTCAAAATGCTTACCCAAATTAATAAAATAAATATCAATAATGTTATAAAAATCAAAGAAAGGATTTATTAATCTCATAAGAGATTTTTTATTTTTAATATGCTAAGAGATCTCAAGTGTTAAAGTGATCCATTGTATTATTGAATGTTAAAAATAAATAAATAAAATGATCTGATGGGTAAAACCTATTTTGCCAATTCTATGGGAGAAGTATTAGATGATCCAAGATTTTTTCATTCCGGTTTAACTTTTTAAATTTAAAGATCGTATTTTGAATTGTATATTTCGTATTAATTATGCATTTATTCTAATTTTAATTTGATTTAATAGGACCGTTTGAAATCAAATTATTCTCTTATAGTTTACTTGATCTGATGGATAAAACCTATTTTGCCAATTCTATGGGAGAAGTATTAGATGATCCAAGATTTTTTCTTTCCGGTTTAACTTTTTAAATTTTGAGATCGTATTTTGAATTGTATATTTCGTATTAATTATGCATTTATTCTAATTTTAATTTGATTTAATAGGACCGTTTGAAATCAAATTATTCTCTTATAGTTTAGTTGATCTGATGGATAAAACCTATTTTGCCAATTCTATGGGAGAAGTATTAGATGATCCAAGATTTTTTCTTTCCGGTTTAACTTTTTAAATTTTGAGATCGTATTTTGAATTGTATATTTCGTATTAATTATGCATTTATTCTAATTTTAATTTGATTTAATAGGACCGTTTGAAATCAAATTATTCTCTTATAGTTTAGTTGATCTGATGGATAAAACCTATTTTGCCAATTCTATGGGAGAAGTATTAGATGATCCAAGATTTTTTCTTTCCGGTTTAACTTTTTAAATTTTGAGATCGTATTTTGAATTGTATATTTCGTATTAATTATGCATTTATTCTAATTTTAATTTGATTTAATAGGACCGTTTGAAATCAAATTATTCTCTTATAGTTTAGTTGATCTGATGGATAAAACCTATTTTGCCAATTCTATGGGAGAAGTATTAGATGATCCAAGATTTTTTCTTTCCGGTTTAACTTTTTAAATTTTGAGATCGTATTTTGAATTGTATATTTCGTATTAATTATGCATTTATTCTAATTTTAATTTGATTTAATAGGACCGTTTGAAATCAAATTATTCTCTTATAGTTTAGTTGATCTGATGGATAAAACCTATTTTGCCAATTCTATGGGAGAAGTATTAGATGATCCAAGATATTTTCTTTCCGGTTTAACTTTTTAAATTTTGAGATCGTATTTTGAATTGTATATTTCGTATTAATTATGCATTTATTCTAATTTTAATTTGATTTAATAGGACCGTTTGAAATCAAATTATTCTCTTATAGTTTAGTAAAACCTTTAGAAAGGCATCTTATCTTTTAGCAAAAGAAAATATTCGCATTTAATTCATTTTTGAAACAATTATCCAAACTGATATCAACCTTGGATGAGACAAGTCCTGCACGTCAACCATGGGGGACTAAGCACTACAAATGTACAGACTAGTCTGTAATTCAGCGCTTATTTTTTTTTTTGATACATATAAAACTAAATACATAAAGGTTTAACAAAAGTACTAAGGCATTTTATTAAATAAGAAAATGAAAAGTAAATTTAGAATAATGGGCCCAAGAGCTAAGCAACTTAACATGATAGGAATATTAGTTTAGAACAAGCAAGTTTCAATGCTAGACATTTTTGGCATCTTGCAGACTGGGCAAGCATCCAGTATTGCATCACAAATTTTGCATGAAGAAATGTGCCTGCACGGGAGGAACACAATACAAGATCTTCCAGAATGACAGCTTTTACAAAGCATCACCTCAGGTTCAAAGTTGGTTACCCCACCACTCTCTACCTGTTTTCCTCCTTTTTCTTCATCTTCTAATCTTTTCTTTTCTCTCCCTTCATCACAGACGGACTCTGCATCATTCGCCACCACTTTACTGGAAGCTTTGATCTCCTCCAAAGTTTTATACAGAAATGATACCGTCTCTTTCTTTTCTTGAGCAACCATCTTCAAAGTTTGATTTTCTGACTCTAATCTTGCTAGATAAACCTGCAATTCTGCCCATTTCTGTATAGCTTTTGCAATTTCTTCATCTTTATCCCTCAGGATGTTAAGTGAACGAGATTTATGCTCTTGCAGCATCAATCTCAATCTCTCATCCTGTCAGTGATAACCAGAATGGATAATCACAAATTTGTTGACAAAGAATATTATTACAAACTGAACCAAATGCATATAAACCATTACCTGAAACTTGATGTACTGGTTAAATTCTTCCCGGTCCTTCTCAAGTTGAAGAGCAAAGGTAGGAGAATCTGAAACTTCTGAATTATAAAGAAAAAGATTGGGATCAACATGTCCTAAACGCTGTTCTAATTGGTGTTGTTGTTGATGGTTCTGTTGGAAATAGAGACTAGACTCAACAAGCCCAACACCATAATTACCATTGTTGCTAGATGAGCCTGCAGCATTACTCTGGTACGACATACTTGGTAAGATCAAAGCCTGAACCTTTTCCTCAAATTTCCTTCAACTTATGCAGCACATGCTCAAATGAATGGATAATTGTATGTGGGAGCTATTGTGGACACAAGAAATTGTTTGAACAAAAAGAAAAGTACCAAAGACACTTTGCGATCAAGTAACAGTTTCATATTGAAATTTCTATCAACAGAAATCTCACATTAATAAGACTCAATTAACATAAATTTTGATTGAGCAGAAAGAGTAACTGAAGAACTTAAAAGGAAACTAACGAGGTAAAGTGTAGGATTTTCTGCGATGAGGTAAGCAAAAACGTACCACATGCAGATTGGATTGGATTTGTTAAGAGTGCTGAGAATTTTATTAAATACTTTTGTTTGTTAAAAAAATGTTAGATGGTTATTTAGGCAACTCGTATAAAAATGTTTATATATTATAAATTAAATTCAAAAATTATAGAAAACCATATTATCTTTGATAGCAATTGTAAATGATAGGGGTGTTCGTGGTCTGAATTGAATCGATTTTGAAAGCAAAAATCATCCGATCCTATCCCTTCGGTTTGATCATGTAATCATCCATTCGGTTTGGTTTTTTATCAAATTTGATCCAATCAAATCCAATCCAATTTTTTTCGGTTTGGATTGGATCAGTTTTCAGTTTTTTGAAAATCCTAAAATTTGTTTCATAATTAGTGTGCAAATAACATATTTTGTATATATTGGCTTTGTAATTTTTGTTTTGAAATACAAAAAAAAAAAATCTGTAAAAGATAATATAGCTTTTTTTTTGGACAACGAGATATGAAACTCTACACAAATGAAATTTTGTTGATTAGATGTGACTAGGTTTTTTCTTGGGTTTAATTGATGGGTTAATGAGTCTTTGGCATAGACTTTTGGGCTATGATTGAGGAAAGACCTAAGTAGGTAGAAGAGAATTAATATATTGGATCGGTTCTCACCAACCAATCCGAAAATCGATCCAATCCAATTAAAACTTGCTATTTTTTTTTCAGTTTTTGATTTTTTGGTTTTCGATTTAATCGGTTATCGGTATTTTCGTTCGTTCACTGTAGTTTGGATCGATTTGGATCGGTTGATGAACACCCCTACTAAATGATGGGATTGGATATTGTGACAACTAAATAATGTTACTACCAATGTTACTACCACATCTTAACCGTTGATTTCCGCCAATCAACGGTTATCATTTATTGCGAATTAACAATTCAGGATTTGTTAAGAGTGCTGATAATTTTATTAAATACTTTTGTTTGTTAAAAAAATGTTAGATGGTTAATTAGGCAACTCGTATAAAAATGTTTATATATTATAAATTAAATTGAAAAATTATAGAAAACCATATTATCTTTGATAGCAATTGTAAATGATAGGGGTGTTCGTGGTCTGGATTGAATCGATTTTGAAAGCAAAAATCATTCGAACCTATCCCTTCGGTTTGATCATGTAATCATCCATTCGGTTTGGTTTTTTATCAAATTTGATCCAATCCAATTTTTTTCGGTTTGGATTGGATCATTTTTCAGTTTTTTGAAAATCCTAAAATTTGTTTCATAATTAGTGTGAGAGCTTAAATCATGGATTGTTTTCTGTTTTGGATTTCCCTTTTTACAAATTTGTGAGAGCTTAAATGAATTGCCTAAATAATATGATTTTTGCTTTTATTTCATTTTCAAATAATCATGCTGACAAGGTATTTCACTTTTTATTTTCAATAAACACCGACTCATCCATTTATTCAAAGCAGAACAAACGCCTCTGAAATCTCTGACCCGATTTTTATTTTTAATTTTTTCGTAAACATCTCTCACCCGATTGTTTAGTCTCAAAATCTGCATGTGGTACGTTTTTGCTTACCTCATCCCAGAAAATCCTACACTTTACCTCGTTAGTTTCCTTTTAAGTTCTTCAGTTACTCTTTCTGCTCAATCAAAATTTATGTTAATTGAGTCTTATTAATGTGAGATTTCTGTTGATAGAAATTTCAATATGAAACTGTTACTTGATCGCGAAGTGTCTTTGGTACTTTTCTTTTTGTTCAAACAATTTCTTGTGTGTATATATATTTGCACATCCACAATAGCTCCCACATACAATTATCCATTCATTTGAGCATGTGCTGCATAAGTTGAAGGAAATTTGAGGAAAAGGTTCAGGCTTTGATCTTACCAAGTATGTCGTACCAGAGTAATGCTGCAGGCTCATCTAGCAACAATGGTAATTATGGTGTTGGGCTTGTTGAGTCTAGTCTCTATTTCCAACAGAACCATCAACAACAACACCAATTAGAACAGCGTTTAGGACATGTTGATCCCAATCTTTTTCTTTATAATTCAGAAGTTTCAGATTCTCCTACCTTTGCTCTTCAACTTGAGAAGGACCGGGAAGAATTTAACCAGTACATCAAGTTTCAGGTAAGGGTTTATATGCATTTGGTTCAGTTTGTAATAATATTCTTTGTCAACAAATTTGTGATTATCCATTCTGGTTATCACTGACAGGATGAGAGATTGAGATTGATGCTGCAAGAGCATAAATCTCGTTCACTTAACATCCTGAGGGATAAAGATGAAGAAATTGCAAAAGCTATACAGAAATGGGCAGAATTGCAGGTTTATCTAGCAAGATTAGAGTCAGAAAATCAAACTTTGAAGATGGTTGCTCAAGAAAAGAAAGAGACGGTATCATTTCTGTATAAAACTTTGGAGGAGATCAAAGCTTCCAGTAAAGTGGTGGCGAATGATGCAGAGTCCGTCTGTGATGAAGGGAGAGAAAAGAAAAGATTAGAAGATGAAGAAAAAGGAGGAAAACAGGTAGAGAGTGGTGGGGTAACCAACTTTGAACCTGAGGTGATGCTTTGTAAAAGCTGTCATTCTGGAAGATCTTGTATTGTGTTCCTCCCGTGCAGGCACATTTCTTCATGCAAAATTTGTGATGCAATACTGGATGCTTGCCCAGTCTGCAAGATGCCAAAAATGTCTAGCATTGAAACTTGCTTGTTCTAAACTAATATTCCTATCATGTTAAGTTGCTTAGCTCTTGGGCCCATTATTCTAAATTTACTTTTCATTTTCTTATTTAATAAAATGCCTTAGTACTTTTGTTAAACCTTTATGTATTTAGTTTTATATGTATCAAAAAAAAAAATAAGCGCTGAATTACAGACTAGTCTGTACATTTGTAGTGCTTAGTCCCCCATGGTTGACGTGCAGGACTCGTCTCATCCAAGGTTGATATCAGTTTGGATAATTGTTTCAAAAATGAATTAAATGCGAATATTTTCTTTTGCTAAAAGACCATAATAAGATGCCTTTCTAAAGCTTTTACTAAACAATATGACAATAATTTGATTTCAAACGGTCCTATTAAATCAAATTAAAATTAGAATAAATGCATAATTAATACAAAATATACAATTCAAAATACGATCTCAAAATTTAAAAAGGAAAGAAAAAATCTTGGATCATCTAATACTTCTCCCATAGAATTGGCAAAATAGGTTTTATCCATCAGATCAACTAAACTATAAGAGAATAATTTGATTTCAAACGGTCCTATTAAATCAAATTAAAATTAGAATAAATGCATAATTAATACGAAATATACAATTCAAAATACGATCTCAAAATTTAAAAAGTTTAACCGGAAAGAAAAAATCTTGGATCATCTAATACTTCTCCCATAGAATTGGCAAAATAGGTTTTATCCATCAGATCAACTAAACTATAAGAGAATAATTTGATTTCAAACGGTCCTATTAAATCAAATTAAAATTAGAATAAATGCATAATTAATACGAAATATACAATTCAAAATACGATCTCAAAATTTAAAAAGTTAAACCGGAAAGAAAAAATCTTGGATCATCTAATACTTCTCCCATAGAATTGGCAAAATAGGTTTTATCCATCAGATCAACTAAACTATAAGAGAATAATTTGATTTCAAACGGTCCTATTAAATCAAATTAAAATTAGAATAAATGCATAATTAATACGAAATATACAATTCAAAATACGATCTCAAAATTTAAAAAGTTAAACCGGAAAGAAAAAATCTTGGATCATCTAATACTTCTCCCATAGAATTGGCAAAATAGGTTTTATGCATCAGATCAACTAAACTATAAGAGAATAATTTGATTTCAAACGGTCCTATTAAATCAAATTAAAATTAGAATAAATGCATAATTAATACGAAATATACAATTCAAAATACGATCTCAAAATTTAAAATGTTAAACCGGAAAGAAAAAATCTTGGATCATCTAATACTTCTCCCATAGAATTGGCAAAATAGGTTTTATCCATCAGATCAACTAAACTATAAGAGAATAATTTGATTTCAAACGGTCCTATTAAATCAAATTAAAATTAGAATAAATGCATAATTAATACGAAATATACAATTCAAAATACGATCTCAAAATTTAAAAAGTTAAACCGGAAAGAAAAAATCTTGGATCATCTAATACTTCTCCCATAGAATTGGCAAAATAGGTTTTATATCAGATCAACTAGTCATTTTATTTAACCTGCCGCAAGTCATTTTATTTATTTATTTTTAACATTCAATAATACAATGGATCACTTTAACACTTGAGATCTCTTGGCATATTAAAAATAAAAAATCTCTTATGAGATTAATAAATCCTTTCTTTGATTTTTATAACATTATTGATATTTATTTTATTAATTTGGGTAAGCATTTTGACATATATAGTACAATTTTTTTATTTTATTTTTATATAAAGACGTTGACTTGTCACAAAACACGATGTGTTGATATTTTTAACACAATTATAAAAGGTGGGTCAATCTGACCTGTCTCATTTTTGACAGGTCAGAGACACATCAGAAGAAGTTGACATTTATTGAAAATCATCTCTACCCTTAGGTTTGAGTATGGAGGAAACAAAGACCCAATTTGGACAATGAAAACTAGAATTGTTTTTTGTCCAATGCCTAAATCATGATATGT